CCTTCCTTCCTTCCTTCCTTCCTTCCTTCCTTCCTTCCTTCCTTCCACCAGGTTTCTGGGTCTCTCCCAAGTTGGGTGCCAACTGAAAAAACAGAGAAATGTCACAGAAAAGACAAAAATACAGCAGAGCCTTCTGTCCACAGGTGTTGTTAACAGGTGTTTGGGGTTAACACAGTGGGTCAACCAACCCTGAACTTTAAGGGCTTTGTTTGGGCTAAGTTTGGACTAGGTGAAAAGGTCACATTTTGAGCTGTTCTCTCTTTTTCTAGGCTAGCCACTGGATAGAGACAAGGACTGGCAAACCTTAAACAGCTAAAAAAAAAAGAGAGAGGGACATCCAGTGTTTGTAGGGATCCCTTCCCAATCTGTAATGTCCTTGCAGGTTCAGCAGTGGTAGACTGGCTGGTGTTCATGCAGCTCGTGCTGACCCGCGGGGAGGCTGTGACCCTGTCCTCAGCTTTGCTCGAAGAGGGCCTTCTGCGGACCGTAGGACTGAAGAGTGTAGAGGCCTTTCGCACCGCCGGCCTCAGTGAGCAGTTCATGGACGACTCCACTGCTCTCTATAGCTTTGTATGTTTCTCTGAGTTTTAGTTTTGCTAGCAATCAAGTAATCTTTTCAGAGCTGGGCTTCATCTGTGCTACTTTCCAGTCTGACAGCTTAAAGAAGAGAGGAAGCGTTAAGGCAGAGAAGTCGCTGTCTGCTGTGGAGCTTAGTGGTAAAGTCATAAAAAGAGGATATCTGCTTAAACAGGTAAACATTTGTCACATTTAAAAAGTCCTGCATTCAAATGTTGTGATCATAAGCCATACATTTTGGATATGACACATTTTTTACAGTTGTAGAATAGGATTAAATTGGCATTCCTTAGTAGGCTGACAAATATGATTTTATTTTGCAATCAGTTTTTACTCAGTCACTCAAACTTTAGAATTTCAGGCTGCAAAACAATAGGTGAATAGGTAGAAGTTTAAAGTAAATGCATATCTAAGAATCTAATATGGCTTCCATGCATTTTACTACCAATTATTTGCTGTTTTGAAAAAATATGTCAGAAGAACTAGTTTTTACAGCGAAAATAAAAGTTTTAAGTTTGGCTAATAGAATTTAGCTCAATAATTTACACACCCACTAAATGAATTACAATGATTCCAAGTAAACAACTAAATAAAACATATAAGTTTAGAATATATGTTGAATGTTAATGAAATTATGTTTAAAAACTGGTTAACGGCTGTTATTTTTCAATGTGTATTTTTACTTGACAAGCAGCCATATTTGGTACAAGTTCTAATGTAATTTTTGTGACTGTAAATAATCATATTCATACAGTTTTTTAAAACTGGGATTTGGAATTGTTGGGTTTGCTGCTATTCCAAGATATAGACATCATGCTTGTTTCCTGTTGTAAAAACATTGCTGATGGTGAATAAGATTTTCAATTCAGCTTGTAGTTAAGACACGATGCCCTTTGAATCTCAGAGGTCTTCAACAGGCTTGTGTTTGAACTTCTGGTTAATCTTTAACTGCAGGGACACAGAAGGAAGAACTGGAAGGTGCGACTGTTTGTGCTGCGTTCAGAGCCTGCTTTCCTACATTATTATGACCCCACCAAGGTGAGCGCTCACAGGAAGACGACAGAACCAGATCATGCTCAAAGTCTGAATATATGACAAGCTGATCAGAGTGGATCTAAATAAAATTAAACTATGTCTGTTTGCTTTTGTTAAATATTAATTCTCTTTAAGGTATGTGTTTGAAGCTGGTATTACTCATAGTGAGCATCATCATCATCATCATCTTCTCCCCTTTATGTCTGACTCAGTCTCTTTCATTCTTTATCACTTGTCAGGATGACATCAGCCCTGCTGGCGGCTTCTCCCTGCGAGGGTGTCTGATATCCTCTTTGGATGATAATGGAGTTCCCTCAGGTTGGTTAACTCATTTAATAAAGATTAGTTTACCTTAACTTTGTTTAGCTGTACAGAAAATCTTGAATTAAAAAAAGGATATATAAAAAATGAAAACGTAACTAAATATATTAAAAAACAAACAAACAAATCTAAATTGTACCCATCATCTGTCCCTCTGTCCTCTGTCCGTCCCTCTTGTTCCACTTATCTGTCAGGGTCAAGGTGGGGCTGGTGCCTATTATTAGGCCATCATAACAAACAAATGTTAGAAACGCATTTAACTAGACCTTACGCCCAAAAATTAAGATAAAAATTTGCACCTCTAACATCAAAAATTGATGTTAAAAACAGACTGATTCTGACACAGATAGTTATTAAGAATATAATTTAAGGTTTTTAGAAAAAGAAAAAAACTTCAGCTCTTCAGATAACTTCAGACTGTTTGGGAGGTGGTTCCAAATACATCTGTGAAGCTGAAGTGCAAATGAAACCTGAAGAGATTCTAATCAGCTTCACCTGGATCACCAGCGATGTGCCATGTTCAAATTTCCCACCAATCAGCATTGGAGCTTCATCCCTTGTGAAGTTAATCATCAAAGATCTCCTTCATAAGCTCATTGTCCAGCCCTTCTCCTGCATACCAAAGAAACTTCTACCCTCCTCTGCACCATTTCCTCCTTTATTCTCAGACTATTCTCAGTCTCATTCATCCTTTGGGTCGGGGGGACTACTCTAATTATTTTCCTGAACTATTCATCAGAGCTCATATCAATTTGCAGCATCAAGTCTGCAGCCGGGGTTATAGCCCCTAAAAACTTATTTCATTCATGTCACTTGAAATTATTTTAATCGCAACTTTTCTTTGAGTGAGTCTCTTCGGGTTAAATTGCCTTTAAATGAAAAAGCTGTGAGTGCAAAGGCAGAGGATCTTTTCATGGTGGTGCAGGACGTTCCAGTTGTTTGTTCAGAAAAGAGATAACTGCATTTTCGAAAACAGTTGGAGTAATAATTTTATTAAAGATTCTTACATTTTTATATTATATTGAATTGTCCAAACTAAATATATTGTATTTACTGACGACATAGCAGTGATGATAGTTAAGGTAATTTTTTATTCTTTTTAGATATTTAAGCTACTGTACATTTTACCAAATATATACTTTGTTTTTCTCTCAGAGCTTGACTTTTTATAAAGAAAAAAAATGTTTATGATTAAATGTCCCGATGTTCATCTAGTTGCCCCAAATTTCAGCTGGTAAATAACATTATCTGCCTAAGGAATGAGTGTTTTGCCCATAAAATAAGATGATAGATGTTATGCACTTGAAATAAGATAATGGAGCTTGTTTAAATTTTCTAAACATAAATAAAAATTGTTGTTCTTACCTGTTCAAATAATGTAAATATACTTATATTAAGCAATATTGACTTACTTATATTAACATTTTTGCAGTGCATGGGGAAAACCTGCAAATTCACACAGAAAAGCTGAGATTCAAACCCATAACTTCTTCACATGTTGCACATCCGTAAACGGCTGCTCCGCTATACAGCCCTGAATGCCTATTTGTATTTGTGTTAAATAAAAACATTCCTATTCAACACAAAAACATTTATTAAATATTTGCATGTATAACCATTTTATGACATATTCTTGGGTCAAAATTACATTGTTGAGCAAAGCTACCCGTATGTTATGCTTCTTCTTTAGCAGAATGCTAATGGGAGAGAAACCTGTGTCTGACTGGAGAAAAAAAAAAGCATTAAAACAACCTACCACATTAAGGTCCAATTTAGACCTTCTGGGTGTTAATTTGAGCCTGATATTTATTTTTCTCAGGGTATATATTTTGTCATAAGGTTTTAACTTATTTATCTTATCTATTTTATTTTAGTGTGTTTTATTTTTTATATGTGAAATAACAGATGTACCGGTGATACAATCTGATTTTCTTACACAGGTGTAAAAGGCAACATTCAGGGCAACTTGTTCAAAATCATCACTAAGTCAGACACTCATTACTTCATCCAGGCTCCGACTCACCAGCAGAAGATGGACTGGATAGACGCAATCAGAGAGCAGTCGTAAAATTGCTCTTCCCAGAGCAGTTTCAATATTCAACACATCAGCAAGGAGGAACATCTTCAATGTTCTGTCAATGCACTTTCACTATTAGATTAGCACACACTTTAGAGGTGGTCACCTTTCTATTTGTTTGTGTTTAACATGTCATGATCTCATGATTTTGTGTGAATCTTTAAGCTTTTTTTTTTTTTCAAATGTAGCTATTTATTCATTTCTCTTTTGCCTTTTTTGTTATTTTGTATTAAAAAATGCAATGATTTTTTGATAAAATAATTTTCATTTTCTGACTATATTTTTGCAGCTGTAGGTGTTTGTATATTTCTTTTTCTGTTAAATGAATGAACAAATTATGTTATTTATTGAAAAAGCTCTGTGTTCTGTCATTCTTAATGAGTGTGTAACATTTGATTTAAAACTAATTTTTTAGTTAGTTTTTAGTAATTTTTTTTGCATCAGAAAAATGAAATAAAATAAGAAACAGAAATAGGTAGTTAAGCTAGAAAAACAAAATTATTTCTAGTAGGTATACACAACTTTAAATCAGACTATTAAGCTAGTTTGTTTCCCTCATAAAATCATTCGATCAGCATTTTACCTGCTAAGGAGTTGCATGTTTATTTCAAAGACTGTGATTCAGCTGAGGTTAAAAATGAGAATGAGTAAGGGGATTTAACTGATGGGGAAAGAGGCCTGGTTGTTGTTGTCAACAGGCTAGTCTGAGAACTGAAGTAACCTCTGATCTGCTTGGACTGTTGGTACTAAAGCAAATCTTGGGTTTATAAAGGCAAAGGAACAGAATGAAAGGATAGACTGGAGAAAGGTGGTAACAGTGATGTGGTTGAGGTGGTTAAAACAGTGTCTTTCAAAATTGTCTCTGTATTGTCCAGTGGCCATCAGATCTCGGAGAAAAAGAGCACCTTTGGTAGAGAAACAAATAATTAAGGTGATTGTGATGTATAAAGGGGATCAAACCTGGTATTATGAATGTGTACCTACGGTGGCAGACATTCAAAACAACCCTTCCCAATCAAAAGCGAGCCGAATGGCGGCGTACTCCCCTGCAACTCCCAGCAAATTCCCCTCAAACTTCCAGCCACTGAAGAGACCCCCTCCATCTCCTGGGTGTGCATATTTTTTTACTCTGACTCCACCCTTTCACTGAATTACAGGGTCTGACCAGGAGGCTTCTCTTTAGATCTTAATGTCCACAAATCATGACAGAATATTTTAGTACAAAGATGGATGTTTAAAAATGAATTGTTGGGGACCAGCCAAGGGCCCATCAAGGAAAGAATGGCTACTAATGTATAGACTTTGAAGACTATATTTAGTTATTTGACAATAAACCACTTTCTGTCTTTTTAGGGTTCTTCTCGTGTTTTAATTAGTTTAGTTTTAAGAAGTCATAACTTGTATTCTACTTACACAGTCATAAATATGTATTTAAATTCACATTTAATCCTTTTTAGGATCTGATCTGATTTTCTGATTGAGCTCATTTGTATGGAATATGATTAAGGCCAATTCAAAAAACAAAGAAACAAAATACTCAAAACACTTAATAAAACAAAAAAGGCTATTAATCTCTGACTGTAATCTCAGAATTTTTAGCATACTTTCATAATTTCAACTAATTCTGAGTTTAATCAGAAATTCTGACTTTGATCTCAGAATTTTGACAGAAATCCGAGATCAAAGACAAAAATTGAATTTAACCTTGACCTTAGGCATAAAGCTCTTTAATTCCTTCTGGGGATTGAAAACCAAACCTAAGTCATACCCATAAATTCAATTGTGTTGAATAAACTTGTTCATATCCAAACCTGTACTGTAGTTTACAGTGGAAGAAGCTCTGCTTGGTTCCTGAATTTCAATCATTGTTTTTAGATGAACAAAACTTATTTACCGTAATCAAATTCCTTTACATGTATATCTATACTTGTTTTACCGCAGTGGTTTGAGGGTTCAGGAAATAGAGGTTAAATATTTTTATATTTTATGCTGAGCAGTTCTTAAAAAGTCTGCTAGTTTGTCTTGGTGACAGTCCTTGCGTTTGGTGTTTCATCTGTTGCTTCTAGCTTGAGCAAAGACTCTCTCAGCGAAGAGGAATTGCAGAAACAAGCATAGACTTGAAATGAAGCTGCAAGTATTTGTTGTTCTCGTCAAACTTACAGCTTCAGGGGCTTGGAAAAATCACAGACACAGACAGGCACTCCCACTGAGCCAGCTGAGATCTGCCCTTATCTGGGTGACTCAAACTGAGCTGGCCTTGATCCAGTCTGGCTCTGTTTCTATCAGAAGTGGCACAACACCTGAGTCATATCTTGGATTTAATACCAAGTCTTAAAAGCTGGCATTAGGGGCAGCAGAGGAAAAGATAACAAGTATGATTTTATTGCATGGGTATAATTCAGAAATTAGGAAACATCCAAGAAAACGTTGCCAGAAAAATTTTAACTGAGCAAATATGTGGATGAAAGCTGCTCAAAATAACAGCAATAAAATATATAAATGTGAAAATGTCTCCATAGAAAAAGAAATCATTTACTTGAATTAAACAAAGTGATTATGCTAATAGTTTATAACTTATTCACTGATGGAAATGAATAAAAGTGGGGGGTTTATAAGGCAGTACGGAGGAGGATTAGGCCATTAACAAAAAAAGGCCACCCAGAAAACAAAAAAAGGCTATTGATTTTTTGCTTAATCTCATAATTCTGACCACTTGTGATATTCCTACTTTATCAAAGTTATAATCCTTGGCTTTGCTGATAGAGTCCTAAGTAATTTGACTCTTAATTCTGAAATCAAAAGTCAGAATTTTCAGAACAAAGTCAGAATATGGAGATTAAAGTCAGAATTCTAAGAATGAAGTCAGAAATCTGATATTAGTTAGAACTCTGAGAATAAAGTCTGAAGTCTGAGATTAGTGAGACGTCTGAGATTAAAGTCAAAGTTATGGTAATGGAGTCAGAAGTCTGAGAATAAAGGCAGAAGCCTGATGTTTAAGTCAGAATTCAGTTCATAAAGGGAATTCTGAGAATAAAATTGGAAGTCAGAGAATAAAGCTGGAATTCGGAGAATAAAGTCTGAATTCTGAGATTAAAGCCAGAATTATGAAATTAAAGTCAGAATTCTGAAAATTGTCAGAATTCTGACAGCAAAACATAATTTTGAGAATAAAGTCAGAATTCTGAGAATGAAGTAACTTCTGAGACCAAAATCTGAATTCTGAGAATAAAGTCAGAATTACTAAATTAAAGTCAGGATTCTGAGAATAAAGTTGGATTTGAGTTTTAAGCGAGAATTTTAAGAAAAAAGTCAGAATTCAATAACCTTTTTTTGTGGCTGTTTTTAATGGCCCTAACCCTCTTCTATAGTTCCTACATTCTGTTTAAAAACAGATCGTCTTTCAACAAGAATGGTACCAAAAAACCCACTGGCTTGATCTCTAAACCTTCATCCATTAACAACTGAAACATTTTTATGCAGCTGGATAACAAATTTGATACGTTTTGAATCTGGAATAGAAATCATGGCAGTTTCATTGCATGCATATACGGAACCAAAAGCTGTTGGGAGCATTTCAAGTTTTTTCTTCCTTTTTTTAAACATGTGGCATTTATTTTAAATGCTACTGTGTGTGAAATAATGAAACCTTTTGAAACAGAGTAATCAACATACAGTGCTGCTTCTTTGAGGACATGCGCTAATAAAGCCAATCTAAGTTGTTTTCACACTATCACACCTGTTGCCGTATTTAACTGGGCACAAAATCACAAACTTTACAATGTTTTTTCACTTGACAAGAGCTTTCAAAGGTTCATTCCAGAAACGTCTTAGATAGGATTCTGAACCCCCCCCCCTTTTTTTATGCAGCTATTTTTCTCATTCAAAGAGCAGACCTTAGATCTCGCTCCTAATGATTCAAAACAATTCAAAATAACATTCCTGGTTTTTTTTTTTTTAAGACATGTGATTGCTGCCTCTTTCATTCAGCATCTTCAAATCCCCAGTCAGGTAATCTTAGCGAAGGCACTTTGTCTCAACGTAGGATTACGAGGCTGGTGCAACTTTGTTGGCGAAATAAAAACACCAAAACATTCCTGATGATGGCGACTCAAAAATAAGTTCTAATCTAATGGTGGTACCATCCCCGGGTAGAGCAGGCCCTCAGTTCAGCTTCCTGTCAGTGAGAGCCTGGTGCTAGGCAACCTTGGTGAGCTGTAGGTCCCCAAAGACTCTTAAGGCGGTGAGGGAGGCGAGCTTGGAGACCCGGTGGGTGAAGCCACACAGAGGCTGGCCGTCCACCAGGATACGAAACTGCTGGTGTTCACAGACGATCTCCATCTGATGGGAAAATGATAGGAAAATGCTTCATATCCTGCTTATCCAGTAAAAGCTTTTAACCTCCACCTAAAACACTAAAATAACTTTTTTAATTGTGTGTTTTGGCTTATTAAAAAAGCATTAGACTGAAATCAGCTTAGTCAAACTTTTTATAGGTTTTAATTCATTGGTGCTAAGTAAAATTAGTCTAAAAAATTTTTATAGATTCATATGTTTTAGAAACAAGAACTGACGTAAAGAACATTGTAAAAAGAACATCTGAAAAGTGTGCTATTCCTTTATATTAAGCTCTGACAAGTCAATATTTTGCAGAAACATCTTTGCAGTAGCTACAATTTAAGCTTCAAGTCTTTGGGGTTATGTCTCCCCCAGCCTGTCTCAGCTGAATAACATTTCTTTGTGCTTCCTCTAGGGAGAATTGCTTAAGACACCTCAGACTGGATCGAGAGAATTTGTGAACATTTTTAAATCTGGCAGCAGAATCTGATTTTCATTTTTTCCCCCCTGGGTTTATGTTTAGGGGCTGTTAACCTCCACTTTAATCTTAAGTCTTTTGCTGCTGTATTTAGCTTCACTCCTCTCTTTCTCCAAATTACATACATCCTCACATTGATTACTGTGGAAAACTTTAAACTAGATCTCTTATGATTTTTGTCTTGCTATTCTGTAAAGGGCAGACAGATGAAGCTGCTGATTAATAATGACTGATTCTCCCACCTGAGCTTTGTGTTGCTGCAGCTCCTCCAGGCCTGCCATGGGCCCCCTGCCTTATTCTCTTTTTTTTTAATTTCATTTTAGCTCAACTATTTTCTTTCCAAGTCTACCAACCCAGTTTTGGTTGCTTTGCTGTTCAGTGATACTCTTATATTTTGGCAGAATAAACAGAGTTTTGTATTCTATTGTTAATCCTAATCTGCCTGCTCTATCCTCTAAGCTTGATGCTTTTTCAACCTTCTGTAACAAGCGTCTTAGTCCTGCATTTATGTAGTAGACAAAATATATACCCTTAGTTACTTTGTGTCATTTTCATTCAGTATGAATACAATCTCTGCTAAATGGGTGACTTTCGGAGACTTAATGGATTTTTTTTTTTAAGGGTATCAGAGGAAAAGGAACCGAATACAAATGCTCCATACCAAATTATTTATTATTAGTTGGTCACTCAGATAAAGTCCCAATAATATATATTTAAAGTTTTCTTGTGTAATTAAATTTATACTTCTGTATAAATATATATATGTTTATCTATCCTAAAGGGGAAATTATGACACCTGTTGCCATGGTAGCAATATGTCCACTTGCACTTAATGAAGGTTTACATGCTGAATGTGCAAAATTAAAGCTGCCTCTAAGTCTCTCAGGACAAGAGCAATCAATAAATTGACTCTCATTCTTTCTTGTGTCATTTTAAAAAGTGATTTTAGCCGCCATGTTTTACAACAAATACCTTGAACGCTTCTCCAGGTGCAAAGGGAAAGAAGGAGAGGGTGTTTTCACATGGACCCCATTTTCCAGCCAAGCGGGCGTTACGTTGGACGGCCTTATCCATGAAGGTGACCTTTAGTTGTAGGCCCACGTCCGCTTCTGCGTCTTCCCCTTGAGGCTTGCAGGACAGAGTCACCTCAATGCTGTGTCAGCACACAGACACACACATTAGGGAAGCATAAATATGGTGCAACATACACACCTAAAAAAAAACAAAAAACACCATAGATTCTTCAACCTTTGATTATGTTTTCCTAATAGGTTCCTAATAGGTAATAGGCATTATTTGAAATGTAGTAATTAAGTATGTTATGGTTTAAGAAGTCATCTTCCTGAGTCTCATTGATTTTATTCCAAAATAATATAGATACATTTTCAGTAGAGAAAGATCTGTTGGTTGTTCTTAACAAAGAAATAGCAAAATATTTAATAATTAATGTAAATGAATTTAAACGATTAATTATAATACTCCACATGAATACATTATTTAATGTTTCTATAGGGAAAACATAATAATACAAAGTAACTTTTTTGACCTACAATAAGATTGGATTTTGATTAACATTTGCTGAAATATTTATTAGAGAACTGAGTGCATTTATTACTTTATGTGCATTTTGCACATACATTTCAGAAAATCTGCATTTGATAAAGATACAGCAGTGTATATAAGGTTTTCTTTAAATTAAATATTGCTTTATTTGTTTATTCTTAAATACAAAAATTTAAGTCCTGCGATGGACTGGTAACCTGTCCAGGGTGTACAACGCTTCTCGCCTGTGGACAGCTGGAGATAAGCACAAACACCCCTCGCGACCCCAGCTGGGATGGGTGGATGGACGGACCAAAATTCTGCGTAATCTAATCTATTTGAATCTCTTGGTAAAATGAAAAAGTCAGATTTTGTGTACATAATTCGGTAATGTTAAAACTATATTATACTCTGATTTATCCATATGTAACTGATTTCAATAATGTATAGGCAAGTAAATTTTCGAAGTATTTAAGGAAAGTATAATTGTTACAAAAGTCTTTTGTTAACTTGGCAACATTCTTTAATAATGACGCTTCAAATGCACCCCTTTTATTTTTAAACTACCACTGTTAAATATTGACGATATTAGCATTACTCAATCATGTCCTTTTGCTCATAGGATAAAGCTTGGCAAATCACGACATAGCTTTAGTAATTAAGTTGTTAAAAAATGTCAAGTTCATTCTTATAGAACCAGACAAGTAATAACTTGTCATCTTCCTATATGTAAAAAAAAAAATCTCAAGATCAATGTTCGCTTAGATATCATGGAGCAGAAGTATGGAATGAGAATGGAGATTGCTTGTACTTATCATCGATATCTAACAACAAAAAATTCTGAAATTTATTTTGCTTTTAACATAGAAGTTTTAAAACTGAACTACATTTAGTATAGTATAATACAAATATTATGTTCGTTGAAGAAATACTGTATTTTTTTAGAACTGAAATTAAACTGAACTTAAACTGTTGCTAATTATAGGAACTACAAGTGTTTTTAATTTGTGATGTCATGCTCAATTGGAAATATAACATGGTCTTATGGCAAAAGCGATATATTTCTTTTAGAGGAAAGAAGATAGGTTTTGTCTCTCAATGTGAGCTGTAAAAGAAAATTGGATTAATTTGTGTGTGGCTCTTTATATAAGCATGTTTAGATTTCTATCACACATTTTCACATTTTTTTTTTGAATTAAGCATATATATATATATATATATATATATATATATATATATATATATATATATATATATATATATATATATATATATAAACCCCCAAAGAGTCTGCAGCCCACCAGACAGATGTGAACAACTGAAGAATGTCCACAGTGATTAAGAGTTCATGGGATTTGCATCTCTCCCACGCACACTCACTTACCCTTATCAGGAAAACTGTTAGCATTACAAATAAATTGCCCAAAACATCTGGGTGACATCAAGCCATGCAATAAAAAAAGGGTTTTCCTGTATGCTACTGCAGACCAGTCACGTCTTATATTAATTGTCATGAAATAGGACTCAGAACTGGTGTATGAACAAACCTTTTGGGCTTTTTATCAACAATTCCCATGACGACCAGTTTCATTGAAGGCCGCATCCCACCTTTAATCTCTCCGATGTACTCCCCCTGGAAAAACAATAGATATAAATTGATAAGATTGTCTAGTTATTATTGTGTCATTTAACAGCTGTCAGGGGGCTAAATGCAGGTTCGTAGGTAAACAGCCAGCTGTGTTCATTTTCAACCACTTTCACTGTGCAGCACAGACAGGAACAATAGCTTCTTTGATCCAGATAAAAAAAAATATATAGAGTGACTCAACCGATCTGACTGTTTCAATCACTTAGATTTGTTGAATGACGCTATTAACGCTTAGAAGCCTGTTTCGCAAATTCAAGCAGAAATGATGATACATACATTTTCTTTCTTGTCCTGGTCATCCATTCCACTCAGGGCGTGATGCGGTGTGGAAGCTGGCGGGGCGGTGATACCAACTGAGCTCCGACCGACTCTGCCTCCAGCTGGCAAATCCCGCCTGTTGCCATGGAGACTGGCTCCCCGTTTGGTGGTGATGTTGGAAGGTAGAGGCTGACATTTTGCGAGTGGCAAGGATGCAAGCTGGGTATTCTGTATTAAAAAGACTCAAGTTTAGGTTTAAAATGTTTTTTATAGTGTTTGTTTTTCTTTTTGCCATTATTAATATTATTAATGGTGATCAGTAAAAACAGTGCCCGAGATCTGCAAATTAAAGGCAGTCATACAAAATGTGTACGACTGCCTTTAATTTGTCTTCATTAAAAGAAACAATAATAATGATGTTAATAATAATAATAATATATTCAAAAATGTTTAATTTATAATTATAATTACAATAATAACAATGTTTAAACATATGTTTTTTTATTTTTCCGATAACACTTGAATGCAACAACCTTCATCCAATCAGCGGCCGAGAATCAGCTGATGTTTGTCACATGACCTCCGTTATGCAGCTAGCGTAGCAGCTTCAGAGGAAGCTGTGCCTCGTACACAAAATACCTTGGTTTTCCTCAAAGAAATGAGTAAGTCGCTTTATTCTTGCTCTACTGGAAAACGTCTAAATGTGTTATGTGTGAGCAGAGACGCAGAACAACTCACTTTTACAGAAGAAAGGTCGCTAATCTAAGTTCAACCAGCAACATGAGGAGCTAATATTGGGTATGGCTGGGTGGGGGTCAGCTGTCAAATCAAATAACAAAAAAAGTTCAGTCTTAATAATTTTAATTAAATACCTAAACCTTTGTTTTCTAAACAGACTGTCTCAATTTCCTGCCTTTGATGTTTTGGTTTGATTGCAATGATAAAGTATGAGGGTTTTAGTTTTTTGTATAAGTAGACCATTAGAATGATAAAAGTCAACACTAATTAAAAACGAACATTTTTAACAAATTAGAATTAAATAACTTTAGGGCCTTATAGAAGGATTCATACTATTTTACTTTTAACATTTTGTTACTTCAACAAACTTCAGTCTATTTCATGAGGATTTTATCTTAAACAAACGTTGTTCAGTAAACAGTGTGTGGAAGACCATGCAACAGAGAATAGTTGGGAGGCTCCCAACAGGTCCACCATAGAGGTGTATTCACATTCTTTACTTAAGTAAAAGTAGAAATGCATCTATTTAAAAAAAAAAGTAAAGTACTGATTGATATCTTTTACTTAAGTCAAAGTAAAATAGGTACAATTCTATACACCAAAATTGTTTTATTTGAATCTTTTTGTTCACTATTTTGGTAAAGAGACCATGAAAAAACTACTGACTGAAATTTCAGATAAAAGATTGAGCTAAACATCCTGCCTGATCAGCTGACTTTTAAAGCTCTGGTATCCACAGCATTAAAGTTGCAAATAGCATTAACATTGAATTGGAATAATCAACATGTAAGTTTAAATTCTAATAAAGGGGGAATGGATGGGGAATCTGTTTGTTCTCATAACCTGATCCGTCATCTGCAATGTTTTCCAATCCCTTGTCTTCATCCATGTGTTTTTCTGTTAATAAACTGGGATCTTATTGGGTAGATTTTCTTTGTGCTTTTGGCTTTCCCTGTTTTGTTGCAGTTTTTGTATCAGTATTTATGAAATTAACAAGCTAGGTGTGAGAAAGTAAGGAGGAAAAAAAGCACAAATATTTCTTCAAATGTAGGAAGTTAAAGTCCTCAAAAAACCCCAAAAATGCATAAGTAAAGTACATATACTGAAAACAGCTACCAGAGTGCGGATATTTATTTGATATATCTGGAGGAGCTGCTGACATTCACAGCTCAGGTGGTTCAGAGGAGACCAAAACAGAGCTGGGTGATATGGACTTAAACTCCTAGCACAATATTCTGTGATAAATAATTAATTAATCGTGATGATAATAAAAACACTTTTTACTACTTCGTCAATGTCATTCTTAAGTCTCTGACTCCATGCCCCTCCTAACATAGCCCCACAATCAGAAATACTGCTCTCGAAAAAATATCTAAGTTTAAGACAGGCTTCTTCAGTTTAGCTGTTGCATAAAGAAGTATAACCTATTTAACTTTGAACTGTTTGTCTTTGAATTTGTCAAACCCACATACAAAAAAAAGAAAGATAAAATTTTATGTTCTGACAACGGACACAGAATAAAATTCTCATCATGATTTATCAGGATAGCGATTAAACAATATGATACATGACCACAAACAATGCAAAGTTGAAATCTTTGCAAAAAAAATAATTTCATTACGTTTGCATATTCTTGTGCACTTCTGTAAACAAATTTCCTGCCTGCTTTCATACAATTAATTCAAATAGTTTCATTACTTGTTGAAATATTTCTGAATACCGATTTGAGAACTGTTTGATTTTATTCATTCAGTTTTTGTTACTATCTAATTGCACTGCTTTTATTTAGCTTACAGTGATAAAGTTGTGAAATACCTTTGTTTCTTTTTTAAACTCAGGTGTTAAAAGCTCCATAGTGCTGCTTGGTTTCTTTTCGGAGCCGTGACTGCAGAGTAGAGGCCTTTTTCAGCAGAGGCCACCATGCATCCCTTTGGCCGTGAAGCTGACGTTTCTCTTCAAGACCTCTTTGAGTATTTCAAGAGTTGCCTGCAGCATGGAGAATGGCAGCTGGCCAGCGCCTGTGTTTCACAGCTGGCCAACTCACCAGGAGGACTTTCTGGAAAAGTGCGAGAGATAATCAAAGCTATAATCTGCCATCCTTACAATTTAAAGTGAGTACTGATATTTAAACACACTACAAGATAAGACATCTTCTGTTTCCAATCAAAATGCATCAGCAGAATATTTTTTATTGTTTTTTTTTTTTTTTTGCTCAATGACATTATGAGAAAACCTACCTGTTAGTACAGGAGTGGGGGCGTCATGCTGTGGGGTATTTCTCAGCTGAAGGGACCAGGAGACTTGTTAAAGCCAAAAATAGTCTTCCAAATTGACAATATCATGAAATTATTTCCAAAGTATCTTGAAGACAAGAGAGTCGACATTTCGATGCAGCTTTTTACTGAGTAAGAAAATCCAAAATGTTAAACTCTCCCTTTTTTAGGTAGTCTTAAATGGCCTAAAGTTTAGTTTACTCCAATTTAATGTTAGTTACTGAAGGTTATGTCTTTTATTCTATAGGTTATAAAACCATATCTGTTTCTGCTTCTATGCATGTCAGAAATACTGATATCCTCTTTTTTTTTGCTGAACTCTAAACAATGGTTTCGTAGATGGGCTTCTGTCGGCACTCCACACAAACTGGCTTGGTTTTGGCTGCAGGTCTTAGAGAAATGGACTCAGGATCAGGTGAATATGTGAAGCTCTTCCTGAAAAAGTACTCTGGGGAGCTTAGAAACATTTAATGGTTGTATTTTTTTGCCTTTTAAACACTAAAATGTTTGGGCTATACCTGGAAACTTGGACTGCTCCTCATCGATGTAATTTTATTCTTCAGGTTCCTTCTCACATCAAACATGAGCTGGAATTTCTGCTCCTTCTTGAGGAACTTGGGTCAGAGGGCATCCCAGAGACTGTTCTCAAGGTTTGCTTATTTACTGCTGTTTGTGCAAGAAAAAAGGAAATAAAGAAATAATCAAACTATAAAAATACATACCTAATTATCTGTGCCTTGTTTTTTTGACAGGAATTGCACCAGGCTTTCTTGGCATTGCAGTCTGACCAAAGGCCGGCCCTTGCTGCTGTTGAGTCTTGCCTTCAAACCCTCCTGGAGAAGAAGAAACCAAGACTTGCTCACACTTTAGCACATTTCCTGCAGGTAGAGTCAGACCTCAGGGCTCTTGCTAGCAATAAAATGGTAGATTAGCTAGATTAGCAGTCTGCATAGAATTTATAACACAGGATGTTTGATCATCAGTGATCTAAACCATAAAAGGAATGCAAGATTATTCTTTTTAGGACAATTGGGAATGGCAACCTAGCGGTTAGGGCATAGAGCTTGGAATCCTGAGGTTGTGAGTTTGAAACATACTCCCACAGACTGCCACTCTGACTCTCTGAGCAAGACACTTAACCCCCGATTGCTCCCTGGGCGCCCCAGGATGGCAGCCCACTGCTCCCCTAGGGGATGAGTTAGACGCAGAGGTAAATTTCTCCAATGTGAGATCAGTAAATTTCAGTTATTATTTTTTATTATTTTTGAGGAGTAGAGTTTGCCTTTTAGTGCTAAAATAGTATAAAGAAGATATTAGGTGTTTGTTACAGTTTTCGCTCAAACGATCACCTGATGTTAAACGTGATTATTCTTAAATCTCAAATATTACATTGTAGGACAGGCGTCCTTTAAATGTTGGGTTACAGGATTCACGCCCTTCAGAGAATAGCCCCAAACTTCAGGGTAGTTAATACGATAGATTAACAGATAGCTGGATTTTCAGCCGCTCTTTGTTTTTGTTTTTTTCTGGATGCTCTTTCTGATGAAACAGGGATCCAAACCTGGATCCTGTGTGTCTCAGATGCATACTTAGTCCGTTACTTTGCAGAGGGAAGCTCATAAACCAACAGTAGTTCATGACTTTTGAGTGAAAGAAGAAAAGATGTGTTAGTCCACAACCATTCGCCAAATAAAACATGGACCATGCATTATTATTAAGCTTCCCTTTAATCTAAAATGGGTATTAGTACAATAGTTTAAATAAAGCAAACTGATAAGATATATGGGGGTTCATGTTTTCCTTTTAGTATGAGATGCTAAAAAAAAGAGGCTCTCATGGGTGAAAAAAAAGGACTAAAACTTAAAGCATTTCATTCTTATTTTAGAATAGTTCATAACTATTTAGTGTAGTCTTAGTCTCTTTTTAATAATGTTATTCTGTTCTTTTAGTCAAACCCTTTTCTCAAATTGGCCCAGTTTGTCGTCTGTGAACTGTCTCCCACAGTGAATTTCTCCACTGTGAGCTCAATGAAGTCCATCTTATCTTACAGGATCCATCGAGCACTGAAGGCCAAACACTGCAGCATAAATTTATAAAATACTTGATGGGGAAGCTTGGAAAA